GGAATCATAGAGTCTGTTTTGTGAGTTGGAAGAGGACTTTGTGCGTTGGTGCTGGACATATGGGTTAATGTTGGACTTGTGGGTTTGGGCAGCTCTGGGTTGGGATGCTTTCTTGATGCACATTTAACCTTTATATGCAACTCTCTCTTACACATGAGTTTCTGTCGATTTGTTTCTTCAAAGTACCCAGACTAACACACAAGGGTTCATGATGGAGGGGGAAGTGGTGGGGGGGATGAGGAGCTGAAACCAAGGGCTCAAGCAGAAAGCAAATGTTTTGAGAACGATGAGGGCAACAAATGTACAAATGTGCTTAACTCACAATGGATACATGTATAGATTGTGATAAGAGTTGTACGAGTCCCCAATAAAATGATTTTTTAAAATACTGATGAAGAATATTTAAAGTACCATGGACTGCCAGAAGAACAACAACAACATAAATCTTGGAAGTGCAGTCAGAGTCAAGGATGGCTTCTGCTTGAATACTTTGGACATGTAATCAAGAGGGATGAATTTCAGGAAAAGCACATTACACTTGGTAGAATTATGCTTAATAGAAGGTCATCAAAGAAGAGGAAGGCCCTAGGTGAGGTGGGCTGACACACCGGCTGCAGCTCTGGGTGCAAACAGCGATTGTGAGAATGGTGCAGAACTGAGCAGGGGTGCTTTCTGCCATGCACATGGTTCTCATGGGTCAGAGACACCTCAGCTGCACCCAACCCCTAACAGCATAGGATAGCGGATCTGTTGGTAGCATTACCTTTGAGTCAGGATGTATTTTCTACTAGTGTAGAGTATAGTAATTTCTTTAAAACACTTCTAACTGTTCTTTGCAAAATCAAGTCCTTTTCGTAAGGCTGATTCCAGTGAGTGTGCTGTGACTGAGTATTTTGTAGCTAGATGTTTGTGTCTGCCTCTTGCCCGTCTCTCTGAGGAGCTGCGTGACATTCCCTCCCCTCCCCTAACGGTGAAGGTGTTTCCTGCATCATAATAAAGCTGCATTTTATTTTGTAAAAAATAAAAATAAATAAGTAAATAAGGAGGTTTTATGAATTGTATATCAGAAGAGGCAAATAATTGGTAAATCCAATACCTGGGTAGAGCTTTCTCAAAAACTATCTGTTGAAAAAGGATTGAGCTATAATTAGCACACCTTGCCTAAAGTAAGCCTCTCCTAATGCAACGTTGTCTGCATAATGATGAGGCTTTAAAAATGAATAAAATGGGATGACATTTTAAAAATAATTACCTAATTGTTACCAATAAGCATGCAGATTCTCAGAAGGCTAATAATGCTGAATTTATTTAGTGCTCCAAAGAAATGGGATTTTAAAATCACTAAATGGCATTTTCATTTAATCTAGCAAGTTTTAGTATCATTAACATTTATTCAATCATAGACAATACAAAAAGTAATGGGATAAATATGTTAAAACAATTCTTCCTAGGTGTAGGGCGTGGGTAATATTTTAACTTAACTACTGAGTTCTTGAAATGTATCTGTTGGTCCATTATAAACTTTGAAGAAGTTGACTAATTCTACTCCAGCTTAGCATATGACTTATAAGGCTACCAACTAAATCCTGTATGTGGTCAGCCTATGGCTCAGTAACACATTTGGTCCACAATAAGTCATTAAATGAGCCCCGCATATAGAGTTCCTACTAAATCTTCATACAATTTAGTATATGTATGTGAGTAAAAGTTACAGGGGACAAAAAAAGTTAAGGCAGAGAAATCGTTTACTGGAAATACAGGGAATCCAGGGCGGATGAGCCCTACAGGACCAGTGGTGACAGTGGTGATTCTGGGAGGGTAGAGGGAGAGTGGGTTGGAAAGAGGGAACCGATTACAAGGATCTATACATGACCTCCTCTCTGGGGGACGGACAACAGAAAAGTGGGTGAAGGGAGACGTCGGACAGGGCAAGATATGACAAAATAATAATTTATAAGTTATCAAGGGCTCATGAGGGAG